AAGCACTAGGAGTTGTCTGTTCTTCCTGTCGATTTCTCCTGCAGGCAGCGCTGCCTAACTGCTACACCATGTGCTGGACACAGATGGCCTCCAACTGAGCGGCCACCCAGTGAGTCGCAAACCCACACTCTGTATGAAGAAGGTCTGGCACAGAGGGCCTGGGCCTTGCACCCTGTTTGCTGAAGGATGGGGCTGGGCTGGAGTGGAGCCAGTCCACCTGCCCAGCAGCGACTCCCATGCCACGACTTCCTCTCTGTTCCACTATTAGTGCCCCGTGACTGGGCGGAGACTATTGCAGGAGTGTCCTGGGCTGGACACCCCTGGCCGCACGAGAGCCAGGCCACCTCTGACTCAGAGCGGGCCCTCTGCTTCTCTCTTGAATCACTTCTAATGAACAGATGTGTGTGTGCTTTTAAAAGATCAGAAGGTGGGCTCATGAAAGAAAATCCCCACGCTCCCTCAGCCATGATGCTCAACTACCCTTCAGCTCTTGGTGATTTCAAGTGTTTTGTGCAGGTGCAGGCCTGTGGGTCTGTGTGGCCACAGGAGAGGCAGCGTGCTGCGGTGTCCATGGCATGCTCCTGTCCACAGGTGCTCTCTGGGGAGCAGAGCCGGGGTTGCTTCCTGTGCCTGAGAGCCTGTGCGGAGCCTGGCAGACTGTGGCACTGGAAGCCCCTTTGTGACCGGACGGTAGCTCTGTGTTGTGCCAGTACCTGTCCCTGGAGGGTCTCGCAGCTGCCAAAGCTTGGAGTGGTGTCTCTGTTCAGCCCTCACATGTGGAGTCCCTCTGGAAGGTGCAGTGCTGGGCCCTGCCTAGGTCCCACCTGAGGACTGGCACTGGCCTTTGGCGTCCTGCACTCAACCACAATGAGGCCTGGGCACGCCCCAGGGACTGAATCTCTGCCCTCTGATCCCCTTTTCTGTTGCTGTTCCCATGTATCTTACCTGGAGTCCCAGCAGGTCTCAGTCATGGTGACTGGGTGTCCTTAGAACACCTCTCCTTCAGTGAGAAGGTCAGCTTCCTCTAGGCCCAGGGCCACATGGTCATAGTTTTTACAGGAAGGGGACCTTTTAACTTCAGTGTAGGAAGGGTCGTGTGCCTAGACCTATAGGCCTAGTGGGCAGTGTCCCCCTCCAGGTGGCCCAGGTCAGTCATCCACACGGAAGGGTTGTGGGGGTTGTTGCACACAAAGGCACATCACAGGCTGTGGGGGTATCAGGCCTCCCCTGGACTGATCCTGTGCCCCTGGGCCATGCACACCCTGCCCTGATAGCTGGCATGGGTTGTCCCCGCGCTGGGCGGGGAGGATGAGGGTGGGCCTCTTGTTTTATGTGCTCAGCAATTGATGCCCAAGTCAGTTATTCGGGAATATTTTAAAGTTAATATGGCTTATTTAGCGTCTGAGGTTGGAATTTGAAGGTCTAGTCCAAAGGGGTTAAAGGACACTGTCCTCCACATCTCTTAGTGTATCCTCCCAGGAGTTACAGGTGCAGGGTGGGTGCATGGGCCGTGTGGCAGCCCCAGCCCAGTCACCACCTGTAATGGTGTCTCCTCCCCCAGACATTTGCCTCCTCCCTGCCATGACCAGGCGCTTCTGTGGGAGAGCAGGATGCTGTCCCTGCCTCCTCAGTGCTCTGCTCAGTGAGACCGTGATTTCATGGTAAGCCTGTTTGCTGGGTGGCTCGGCATCCTCTGTGGACAGTAGTTGGTTGGAAGCTTGCGGCTGCCATGGCTCCTGCCACGGTGGCTCATGCATCACTAGTGGTCACGTGCTCATTTCACGATAGGAGCCCCAATGCGCAGCCCAAGGGGGGCTCTCGTCGCCCCTTTTACAGGTAACTGAGGCACAGCCAGTGAGAGACCTGCCCAGGGCGTGTGGCTTGTGCAGGGTGGGTTTGCATCCTGGTCCTTGTGCACCAGCCAGTGGGTGCCCAGTTGGCCCTTGGTGGTTCCTGGGGCACGATGTTCACCTTTCTGTGATGTTCGCTGACCTCCACTGAGCGCCTCATGCCATTTGGGCGGCATAGGGACACAGGGGCCTGCCGATACAGTGGAGGAAGCGTGTCCTCTGCAACAGGTGAGCTCATGGGGGCCGTGTCTGTGAGGAGCTGTCTGGTGTGGAGCTGGGGCTTGGGTGGTGCCCACTGGTGTCTCATCTGTGATCTCTGCCCATCTTGCCACTGCCCGTGATTACAGAACCCGCGTCACCACGTTGTCCTTCCTGAAAGGGCCTGTGTGCCGAGGTGATCACATGGTGTAGATGGCGCTGTGACGAGTTTGACTCTGGAAAAATAAAATCCTTTTGGCAGCAAAGAGCCGAAGCCGTGAGCATCATTTGCTCTTTACCAAGTCCCTCGGACACAGAGGCTGGGAAGCGGCTGCAGGCTGGCCTGCCTTGTTTTCCTTCAGCATCACAGGTGGGAGCAAAGCATTCCCTGAACATTGACAGCCACCAAGGGGGTCGGTGTTGATTATGGAGAAGAATTGACGGGAAAGTGCCACCTGCAGTCTTTGGACCAGGCCCCTGGAGGATTCCCCGCAGTCCTGTCCCTGGCCACGCAGTGCGGGGTGGTCCAGGCAAGCTGCACCCTCGTCACATGCACAGGCAGTGGCTCTGTGAGTTATGGACCCGCTACCTGCATGAGGTGGGTAATGCAGAATAGCGCAGGGCTAATAAATGTGCCATGTTACCCAGATTGGAGGTGCTGCTGCTTGGTGCATAAATAAGACAAGCCTTTTAAAAGAGATCTGTATTTAAGGATGTGTTTGTCTGTGTTCTCTGCCTGCTGTAAAGGTCACCCGGATAGATTTTTCCTTCCTTAGCATCACAGGCCGTGAGGAACCGGGCGTTTCTATTCTCCCTCCATCCAGCGAACCTGGGGGACTAAATTAGATTCTGAAATTGAGTGTGCAGTGGAGTGGGTAAGCCGCCGTGATGGGAGGGCACTGCTTCTCACCTTGCGAGTAGCGAGGTCATGATAATACGGAGCGAAGTGGATTAAAAATAAAACCAAAGGTATTTATTTATGACCTGCTCGGAATCGGATTGGCATCCGTGTAAGTTGCATCTAATGGTGAAAGACAGCAGATTGATGTTGATGTGTCCCTGAGGACATATTGCCGGTGAAATTTGCTCTGTGAATTCAATTTAAAGGCCCATAGAAAGTATCCAAAATGCAAAGGAAATGGGGGGAATTGGCACCCAGCCATAGCAAAACGACAATTAGAAGAGCGTCCTAGCACATAGCCCTCATGGTGTGTGACTGCTCAGGGACAGCCAGGGCCCTACTTCACCCAGGGTGGGGCCAGTGGTGGCTGGTCACAAGGGCAGCTGGGACTGTGCCAGGCCCTGCACCAGGACAGCTCGGCTTGTCTTGATCTTGCCCATGAGGAGATAGCGCCAGCCTCACTTCTAAAGGAGAACAAGGGTTAGGGGCACATGCCGTTGACGGGGACCACACAGAAGGGAGGGAGTGCACTTCCGGGCCAGCCAGTGGCTGCAGCACCTGCCTTGTGCCAACCTTGCAGGGTCCCAGAGGCTACCTCAGGTTGGGCATGAGCCTCACTGGGCTGAACCTTTTATTGACAGATGGTGTTGGCAGCCTGAGCCAGCTGCCCCCTTTGTCATTTGTCACCTGCCAGGAGCTGGGAAGGGGCTGTGCCAGCACCCTGGCGCCTCACTGCCTTCCTCACTTCCATCCTGCTTCTGGATGGGCTGGGGAGGAGCAGGTGGCCCCTGAGGGCCTCAAGTGGACACTCTCTAGGACCAGGTTCAGCAGGGCCATCAGACAGTTGAGTACCTCCCTCTGGAAGTCCGCCTGGCCTGGACCTCTTCTGAGACCCCAGTCCAGGAAGCTGTCCTGGCTACACAGCCCTCGGAGCCCCACTCCTGCCAAGCCATGCTAGGTATCACAGTCCCTTGAAATCCAGCATGTCCTTAGTGAGGTCACAGATGCTCTGGATGTGGGCTGTGGGCTGCAGAAGGGGCTGTGCTGTGGGTGCACGGTGGGGGTGGGCTGAGCCTCAGCCATAGTTCCGGTTAGGAGGTCACCGTGTCTGTCACCAGTGTCTGCATCCTGCATCCTGGCCTCTAAACTCCGAGCTCTGGAGACATTTCCTTTGTGTCCTGTGGTTGTGTAACTATCTCCACAGCTTGTCCAGGCTGAGACATGGCTCACTGCTGGCCTGGAGTGTGAGGCTAGCAGAAGGGGCTCCGATATGGGGGACTCAGAGCAGAGCTCCTGCTTCCTGGAAGCCAGAAGGACCAAATGAGGGGCAGTGACAGGCCCTGCTGAGTGTGCAGTGTGCCCGTGTGGGTGCCCATGTGTCTGATGTGTGTGCCCGTGTGTGCCCAGGTGTGTACCCCGTGTGTGCCCCGCGAGTGCCCATGTGTGTGCCCGGCATGTGCGTGCCTGGTGCTGAGGTGCTACTGTGGCCCGTACATGTGGTCCCTGTCTGCACAGAGGAGCTAGCAGGGCTCAGAGGTGGCACTGTCTAAGCGGCTCAGCTGGACCTGGGGATGCAGCTGGCCTTGCTGACACCCGGTGCCTCCACACACCTGATTCACTTTCTTTTGCACAGGGCAGCTGTGGAGGGGAGGGCCGGGTGGTCCTGTCATGCTCCTGGCTCCACCCTGTGGTCCCTGCGCATGTGTGCTTCAGTTCTGCCTGAGCGGTACCTCTCAGACGCTCACCTGCCCCCCCCCGGGCCTCTGGAACACAGTGTGGCCCTGGGCGTGCCGATGTCTGCCTCCCTGGGACATTGTGGGATTAGGTCAGTGGCCCGCTGTATGAAGAGTGGGCAGGTGCAGCTCAGCAGCCCCTTGCAGGACAAGCTGCGAGTGAGCAGGAGAGGACTGCTGGCGTGGAGGGTGGGTGTGGATGGGAGGCTTCTGCAGTTCCCTGTGCCCACCTCGCAGCCACTGGTGGCTGCCCTTGCTCGGGCCCTGAGCTGCAGCCCCTGCCGCCCTCCTCTGACCTGCCTGTCTCTCTCCCCACAGGAGCTGCTTCTCTTCCTCCAGAACCTGCCCACCGCCCGCTGGGGTGACGAGGACATCAGCCTACTGCTGGCTGAGGCCTACCGCCTCAAGTTCGTCTTTGCAGATGCCCCCAATCACTACAAGAAGTGAGCCTGGCGCCAGTGACAGTGGCCTCACTGTGCGGGCAGCGTCCTCTCCTTGCCCGGCCAGCTGAAGGCCCCTTTGAGCGGGCGCTGGCCAAGCACTGCCTTGGGGAGCACCCCTCCTACAGGCGACTTGCCAGGGTGGGCCCAGGCGTCTAGGGCTGAGGGGTGGGGCAGCCCCAGTTTTATGAGATACCAAAGAGAGCTAAGGGAGGGTCCCAGCTTTAGGGGCCAAAGATGGGTCAGGAGTCCCCCTCACCCTGTCCCTGGAGTGTCCTTGCCAAACGTCCACCCTGGAACCCTAACCTGGCAGCCAAGAGGCACCCTCTCAGGCCTGCTGTCCAGGAGCCAGGCGGAGGAAGGGGCAGCCATCTCAGACCTGCTTCATGATGCAAAAGTTCTATTCTGTTGAGTGAAAGAGAATAAAATATGGACAAGATGCTGAGCAGGACCTTGCGTCCGCTGGATCTCTGCGTGCACAGAGCCTCTGACAGCCAGCCGTGTCTGGGCTGCAGCCCCTCACCCTGGGGTGTTTCCTTTCTTGGTTTGAGCCTGGCTAGAAGCTGATGTCAGGCATTGGATCCCAGGGAGGCCATGGGGTAGAGTGAGGCCTCTCTCAATTGCCTTACTTTTCGTGTTTAATCTTCAAAAGAGATGCCGCCCCCTGCCCCCCGTACCTGATCCTGTGATGTCCCTGTCCAGTAGCCCCTGGGGGTGGGGTCTCTTCTCAGAGCTGGACAAACTGGCCTGTGACCCAGGCCTTGCGTTGGGCGCTCTCTTCCAAGCTGCCTGGGCTTAGTGGGCGGAGCTTCTCAGGGTCTCCTCGGCTCCCAGCAGCTCTGCTGTGCTTCCCTGGTCTGCCGTGAGTGGGCTTGACTGCTCGCTGTGCTGACCGCTCCTGGGCTCTGCTGGGGCTGTCAGCTGCACCACGCTCTCAGGACTTGCCTCCACACATCCTCCAGGTGACAAGGACACCCCCTGGGGCACTGAGCCACGGGGAGGAGGCAACCTCAGCCTCCCTCACCCTGAGCCAGGACAGGGCCCTACCCTCAGCAACCCATGATTGCCTGCTTCTCAGATCTGTCCCTCCTTTAGGGGCAGCAGTGCTCCTGCCTATGTGCCTGGCCACTGCCTAGAGGCTGTGGGAATCCAGATGTGTGATGTGCTTGTCTTCTTGCTTCTGTTAAAATCATCTTGGAAATTAGCACACAGTACTGTGCAGAGGGGCCAGTTAGTCCTGGACCTGATGGAGGCCATTTCCACAGGATCAGGGTCCTCCCAGGCCAGCTTCAAGGGGCCTCTTCTACCTGCTCCTCTTGCAGGGGCAGGGGCAGGGGAGGGCTGTCCAGTTACAGGAAGAACCATCCCTGTGGCTGTGGGGAGCCCATCTTACTCAGCCAGAACCCACCCTGCACTTTCCCCTTCTGTAGCACAGAGAGCTCTGCACAACCAGAAAGCTGGGCACACACACACACACACACAAAACCTGCCTTTCGTGGCAGGTTATTTTTCAAAGGGGAAGGGTCCTTGAAGTCAAATTCTGTCCTGTCTGTATTTCATGTATGCAAATGCTGGGTGTGAGGGGCCTGCTGATAGTCCTGATGCTGAGCAGGTGTCCTGAGCTGTTCCGGGGTGTCTGGAATGTGCTGTGCTTGAAACAAGGAATAAAGATGCCAAGTTCGGCCTATAGCACAGCCTGGGATTTGAGGACTCACTTTTCCAGTAGGGGCCCTGACCTAGCACTGTGCTTTGATGCCAGGACCCGTGTTGGGCCCATTAGCTCTGTGAACTCAGGGACACCCATGAGGCCTTAGGAAAGGAACGTACACTTGAAAGGTGGTGTAGCAGGACTCTCTGTGTCAGGGTCCAGGCCAGCCCCTTGGGCTTTGTGAAAGGTCTGCTAGTGGGCACTACAGGATCTGGCCATTCCTCCCAACCTTGGAACTCCCTGGGCATACACACACACCCTGCCCCTCTCCGCATCACTGAAACAGCCCTGATGAGCCCCGGCTTCTTAGGAGTCCTTGAGGCCCCCATGCCTCTCTGGGTACCCATGTCTGCACCCCCACATTTGGGATCCTCCCACAGAAGCACTTGGCTTTCTGCCATCTCTTGCTGCTTGCTGCCTGGGCATGGGCTGTGGTCCTGCCCTCATGGATGGGCTGGTGATTTCTTACTCCTTCACCCTGTGACCAAGTGGGCCAAGCTGAGGGTGGGCCACAGGCCTAGACTCGGTGGGGCCCACGTGGTCTACAGAACAGAGACTGACCCACAAATGAGACCTGGCCTGCTGGCTCTGCTGTTGTTTGTGAAGGGCCAGAGGTAACCCCGGGGCAGCCAGACCCTGGCCAGGGCAGCCTTGTCGGGAGGGGAGAGTCCTAAGGTGTCTGAGTGATGTGGGTTTCAGAAAGGACGATGGGTAGAGGGCTTGTGTGCAAGTTGATTGAGCTGAGCAGACCGACTCCCTTTAGGACATGGGGCCGAGCTGCAGAAAGGCCATCGCAGGCTGCTCAGAGTCAAGCCTCCAGTGCCGCCCACCCTGGGCTGCAGCTGTGTGCCAGTCCCTCGCCCCAGCAGGTCTGCTCTCAGCCTGGGGTTCAGGGGAGCTTCCTTGAGGCAAGCAACTGAGGTGTACCCTTCCCTCGGGCCTCTGCTGCCCACACAGGCTGCCCTCTCATCCCCAGCTCTGGACTCCCTCCAGGGAAGCACTGAGCCCCAGAGGGCCATTTGCTCAGATCTGCCCTATTCAGCTTGGAGGCCTCTTCAGACCCATCCTGCAGCCCCTGGTTGGGAGGTCCTCAGCAAGAGATGGCAGAGTGAGTACATGACTGAACCTTCAAGTCCAGGCCACTGGCAATTAAGGCTGATTAGAAAGTCTCCCATCAAAGGAAAGTCCAGAACTAGGTGGCTTCACCGCTGAATTCTACCAAAAAGAACTAACACTAACACCAATCCTCAAACTCTTCCAAAAAGTCAAAGAAGAGGGAAGGCGGCTTCCAAGCTTTTTTTTTTTTTTTTTTTTTTAACCAGGCAAATTTTAAATTACCCTGATACCAAAACTGGATAAGGACATTACAAGAGAATAAATCACAAGCCAGTATCCTTGATGAGCAAAAATGCAAAAATCCTCAACAAAATACAAGCAAGACAAATGCACAGCACATTCAAAGGCTCATGATCAAGCAGGATCTCTTCCTGGGATGTGAGGCTGATCCACCACAGGCATGTCAGTGAATATGCACCCCACTGATCAATGGACATGTCATTTGACGAAATTCACTATATGATGAAAAATTGAATCAAAGTACATTCTATTGAATGAATGTACCTCAGCGCAGCAAAGGCCCTGGGAGACGCCCACAGCCAAAAGTGTGCTCAGCGTGGAAAGTTGGAACCCTTTTCTCTGAGGCCAGGAACAGGTCAGGATGCCCACTTTGACCACTGTACTTGACATGGCACTGCAAGTTCTCTCTAGAGCAATCAAGCAAGAGAAAACTTGAAAGGCATCCACATGGGGAAGGCAGAAGTTAAATTGTCCCTGTTTGCCAACAACATGACAGGTTATACAAACTACACACACACACACACACAGAATTAAAACTGACAAATGAATTCAGTCATAGAATACAAAATCATACTGAAAAATCAGTAACATTTTCCATACACTAACAACAAACTATTGAAAAAGAAATTAAGAAAACGATCCCATTTACACCAGCTGCAAAAATAAAATTGCAATAGATCTAACCAAAGAGGTAAAGGATCTGTTAACTGAAAACTATAAAGCATTGCTGAAAGAAATTGAAGAAGACAAAAATAAATGGAAAGACATCCCATGTTCATGGATTGGACAAATGACAATTGTTAAGATGTCCATTCCACTCAAAGTGATCTGTAGAATCAATACAATCAAAACGCCAATTTTGTTTTTCATTGAGATAGAAAAAAATCCCAAAATTCATGCAGAACAGAAAACCCCAGGTAGTCAAGGCAGTCATGAACAAAAGAACAGAGCCGGAAAGGTCACGCTGCCTGATTCCAAACTGTACTACAGAGCTGTTGCAGTTTAAATAGCAGGGTACCACACAACATGACACAAGAGTCCCACATCGCCTCATGGGACAGAAGGGAGAGCTCAGCAGTGAACCTGTGCACGTACACTGGTTATTGTTTTAGGGAAAATTAATCACACCCCCTAGTAAATTCTATACAAAGTGATTTAAGTATAAAATCTAAGTCCCCCCCCCAAAATCGTCAAGGTAGGCAACAACTATAACTGGGCATGGCAAAGGCTCTCTAAACATGATGCCAGTGGCACAAACAGTGTATAACATTGCCAATAAATATCTGTAGGTGCACTATGGGAGCAACTGCAAGGACACCAGAGAGCCTCCATAAACAGAGGTTCATGGTAAACAACGGTCTGGACAGACATTTGCAACTAAGGTGAGACCTTTGAATTCCTTAGTAGGTACGGCTATTGGAAATGAATAAAAATGGGCACAGAAAATAGGCGGTTTACAAAAAAACAACAACAACAAAACAAAACCAAGTGATGAATAGCATGTTCACAATATTAACAGTTAAACGGGAAAAACACACGACAAGATGTCCAGCTCCATCAATTAGCAACTGTGAGGTCCAGGACTGTGTTTGTGATCATTTGTTATGTAGCAATAAAAAGCCAATATACCCTCCTTTAGGTGTGTTTTTTTCCCCAAAAATTTGTTGTTGCAAATATATCAGAAGAGAACATGACTCAGATTCAGCACTTTGTGGATTATCCCAAGGCACACCCCCACGTAAGACATAGAACACCTCAGATCGCGTAGTCCCTGCTCTTTTTCCCAAAGCACCAGCCTGACTTCCAACCACATTCAGTGTTTCCTGCCTTTAAATGTAGTGCCAGGGGAATCGCACAGCACAAGCTGTTTCATGAACACCTTTTCTGCCCAACCCTTCTTGTGACATTGTATTTTCTTTGCTATTGCTGCGAGGTTCTGCATCGTGTGAGTGTGGGATGGTTTATGCATTTTGCTGTCAGAGGACACAGGCTGTTTCTGGTTGTGGCAACTAAATAACGCTGCTCTGAACATTGGTGTGCACATCTCCTGCAGGCAGGCATGTGCCAGGGTCTGGTTACTCTTCACCCAGAAGTGGGACTGCCGAACCATGTGGAGGGACCCGCCGTACTCGGGAATGGAGACCCTCTGGCAAAGCAGTTTCTCCTGGTCAGGTTCCAACAGCAGGGTAGGATCTGGGGGCCTCTCGCCTCTCCAGCACTTGCAGTGGTTGGACTTGGTCAGTCTGTGGGCAGGTTGGTTCTCCGCCGTCCCCCTGCTCAGACGCATGCCTGGCCTCTTGCAGCCACCTTGAGGCATCACCTCTCCTTCCTCCTTTCCTCTTGCTGCAGCCCAGACAGAAATCTTGCAGGACACCTTGTTA